TCGACTGCATGTGAGTCCAGCGACATAGCCATTACACTAACTACTGGTCTCCACTAATAAAATTCTTAAAGAAAGTGAAATCCTGGAATTTATAAGAACAAGAGGAGCATATTTCATATTAAAAAATAAGCTGGTATGGGGCCAGCAGGTGGTGTAGTGGTTAAGGCACTGGACTCCCACATGGCCAACTGCGGTTTGAGTCCCGGACCAGTGACTTGAAAATCACACCACGCATGTGTGCGTGAGTACCCCAAATCCCAGTAGAATGGAGGAGAAGGGATTGTGGCATGGCCATTCTCCCTGGGAGGTAGTTTCTTGCTTTCTCTCTCTCCATTTGTCCAGTGAATGCACATGCCCTATGGCAAAAACCTGAAGAAAAAAAAAAAAGAACCTATTTATGTCTGTTAAGAATTTCAGAAAGTTATAGAAAATGGAATTAAAAGATAACAAAAATATAAATTTTATTTTTCTACCCAAGAGCCATCAAGTTTTAGACACTTTTTGAGATATCAGGTATTAAGTCCATCCCCAAAGAGCTGAAGGTCCTGGGAATGTAACCATGTCAATGCAGTATTTCTTTTGCATTATTAACTGAAAAAAAAAAAATGGATGCCCTTTAAAGAAATGTTTTAGGATCAGGAAACAAAAATAAATCTGAAAGAGCCAAGTCAGGACTGTAAGGTGGATGCCTAATGATCCTATTAAAATTCTTATAAAAAATTTCCCTTGTTTGATAATAACAAGCAGGAGCATCGTGGTGGTAGAGAAGCTTTCCTGGACATTTTTCTGCTAGAGTTTTGGTTAACTTTCCCAAAACACTCTCCTAATAAGTCAATGTTTATTGTTCTTTGGCCTTCCAGAAAGTCAACAAGTAAAATGTTTTGAGCATCCAAAGAGACTGCCATGATCTTTGCTCTTTACCTGTCCACTTCTGCTTTGGCTGGGATCACTTCTACTTCTTGGTAGTCATTGCTTTGATTGGGCTTTGTCTTTAGGATTGTCCTGGTAAAGCCACGTGTCATCTCCTGTTACAGTTCTTTGCAGAACTGCTTCAGGACTTGATCCTGCTAATTTAACATTTCCATCGAAAGTTCTGCTCTTGGGACCAGCAGTTGGCATAATGGCTGTTGTAGTTGACTGTGGTTTGAGTCCTGGACCCAGTGACTTAAACTCACGGTGGGCGCGTGTGCGTGCATGCCCAAGATCCTGAGAGGAGAATGGAGAAGGGATTGCAGCATGGCCATCCCCCTGGGGGTGATTTCTCTCTTTTTGTCTCTCTGTCTCTTTCTGTCTTCCTGGCAAGCACATGTGCCCTATAGCAAAAACCTCTCCAAAAAAATAAAAAATAAGTAAAAAGTTCTCTTGTCTGCAGCTGATCTGGGTGCAACAATTTCGGTACCCATTGAGCAGAAAGTTGGCTCAACTTTAATTTTTCAGTCAGAATTGTGGAAGCTGAACAGATTGAGATGTTGATGGTGTTTACTATTGTTTCTGCTGTTAATTGTGAGTCCTCTTCAATTAGGGCATGAACCAGTTTAATTTTTTTTTTCATGCAAATTGCTGTGGATGGTCTGCCACTGTGGGCATCATCTACAACACTGTCTCATCCCTTGTTAGAATTTGTCATTTATTTGTAAACTGCTCATTTCTTTGGGGCATCGTCCCTATAAAGCACTAATGACTTCAACATTTTTTCTACCCAAGTGTCAGCATTAATTTAATGTTTGTTCTTGCTTCCATTTTAGTAGAATTTATGTTGCTCTGGTAGAAGCTCTTTTCAAACTGATGTCTTATCTTCTTTAGTGCCTCAAACTAGATCCTTTACAGATATGCTATGACAAGTTAGTACAAATTTATTTGGTGAAGAAGCATTTTTTGTTTCTTTGTTGTTTTTAATTAAAGAAAGAATTATTTTATTTAATTTTATTCATCATTGTTATGTATTTATTTATTTTAATTTGAGCAGAAAGTGACACAGAAAGAGAGAGAGAGGGGGAAAGTGAGAAAGCAAGCTGCCAGTCTGGGACTCAAATCACAGTCAGCTATGTGGGAGTCCAGCATCCCAACCACTACAACATTGGCCCACCCCATAAAGAAGCATTTTGAAATCCACACATTGTGTCTCTATATAGATATACACACATACACACATATATAATATATATGTATACATAACATTCATGTATACGTGTATATATAATATACATATATGTACACACACGTATATAATACACATTTTTCTTTTTTTAGATTTTTGCTATATAAATGTCCACTTACCAGAAAGAGACAGAAAATGGGACATCACTCCCCGGGAGATGGCTGTGCCAAAATCTCTTCTCCTCTGTTCTCCTATCAGGATTTTGTGTATGCAGGCACATGTGCCTAGAGTGTTTTTATAAGTGGCTAGGTCTGAGACTCAAACCACAGAGTTGGCCATGTGGAATCCAGCACCTTAACCACCATACCACCTGCTGGCTCTTCCTTGCAGTTTCTGAAGAACTCCCTCATACATAACTGGATTCTGGACTCCACTTGGTTAAAGCCATCAAGTTCTGGTCTTCCAAGTGAGATATCAGGTCATCTGTACCGTATAGAGTGTTATTTTAATGAGGCTTCCACTGTAAGCATACTACATGCTACTTTGAGTCTCACTATTGGATATTTAGATTTTCCCATTAGAATTGGAGACATAGGTGTAAACCTCAGTGGCACAGACAGGAGCATTCAGATATGCAATGCTGCAAGCCAGAAGTCCAACAGTGGGTTGGGATCCCACGTCGCCCTGAAACAAACTGGGTGTATATGCCCAAGATCATGATTAACTGGACGGCTGGCTGAAGCAGATCACGGTGTAAACAGACCCTGTTGAGGGTGTCTGTTTCTTTCATGAAAAAAATATTTAAAAGCATAGGAGATATAAAGAAGTCCATGGATAGGTACCAACCTCCCCTAGCTGTAGAAAGAGAAAAGATATGAAGTTAAGAAGCAGCACTTGTAACCTGGGTGTTTGTTTTTGTCTGAAATGACTAGGTGAACTTTACCCTCAAATCAGATTTTTTCAAAATAAATGATTATTTATTTTAATTTGCCCAGAGAGGGACAGAGTGACAGAGAGAGGGAAAGTAAGAAAGCAAGCCACCAGGTCTGAGACTTGAACTGCAGTTGACCACAGTGGGAGTCCAGCACCCTTAACCACCATGCCACCTGCCAGCCCCCAAATACTTTTTTTTTAAGCCTGATGGTGTGTACATACATCATAGAAAGACTGGGAGAGAGAGAGACAGACAGACAGGCAGTCTTTTAAAAGAGATTTTTGTGGTACATGGGATTTCCAGAGAGACAGAATAAGGGAGAAATCACCCCCCAGGATGGAAGACCATACTGCAGTCCCTTTTCCTCTTGGGATTTTGGGTACACACACACACACACACACACACACACGCACACACACACGAATGGTGTGCATTTCAAGCCACTGAGTCTGGGACTCAAACCACATTTGACCAGGTGGGAATCCACTGCCTTAACCACTACACCTACACCACCTTCTGGCCCCAGATTAGTTTTTAAGTATCATGAGCACCATGATGGTGTTTTTTTTTTCCCCCCTCACCACATCTATGCTTAGCAAAGTACCCTGCTTAACACATGGCAGGTACTCACATATTTGTGAATATAGGAGGAGGAAGAGAGGGAAGGAAGTTATAAAGGTAGAATCAAATTCTTTCTTTTTTTTTTTTTTTGCTATAAAATGATTGTGGAACCTTTAAAGTAACTGCTTAAATAGTAACAAGGCAAGGCAAGGCAAGGAATGATAAATTTTGTTCTTTATGTAGAAGGAGTATAATATAAACATGAAATGAAGCATCTGGGAACTACCTACTTATATCTAGTCTTCCTGGGGGCAACTTGGAAGCAAGTTAATTTTGCAGAGTAGCCATTCTAATTGAGTCACTAATTGATGTATTTATTTATTCAACAAATATTTATTGAGAGCCTTCGATATATCTGGTAGGTAGAATGTGAAGAGGTTACACAATGAGTAAGTATGATTTCTGCCCACAGAAAGTTCAGAGTGGTGGGAAAAACAGATGTATTATGGTCATGATTGCACAGTGAACATGTTAAAAATGAATGACTTGTGCTGCAGTTTCTATTAGTGAATGATATGATATTTGAATTATATGTCAAAACGGTCTAAAGCAAACAGGAACAGATTTGGGTATTGTATAAAACTAGTAAGAGATGGTCAAAAGGCAGTTTGAGAAGTTGAGAAGAGTTGCTCATCAACCCATAAAAACCTGAGCTGAAATCTTAAAGGAAGAAAAAGAAAAAGAAAATCCAAGCAGAAGGGACCAAAATGAACACAATCACGGGGTGAGAAATTGTGAGTTTCCTTGTATGTGTATTTTGGGGGACTTGGGGTGGGGTGGGGGGTGTTGGCAGGTGGTTGAAGCTGAGGAAGCAGGCATAGCCCAGAAACAAGTTTCAGATATGGCTAGTAGGGTTTTGTTTAAACTGGGAAATGATATAATCGGCGATCAGATTTGTTTTAGATAAACCACAGAGGCAGCTGTGACGTAATGGAAAGAACAATAATTTTTTTTGGGGGGGGTCACAATTAACTTGTGTATAGATTTCGAATTTGCCATGGGAAAACTAGAAGTGTTATACAGATGTCAAATATTATTATTCAGTCGATCCTAATGGCACCGCTTGCCAGCTGGGTATGCAGAGCAGGTTAATGTAAATTTTTATATTAAACTACGGTTAATCTTGGCGCTGAGTTAAAAAGGAAGTCTTAGAGTGAGCGGGACACTCCCTCCCCTCCCGCCTTCCCCTGCAGTGGAGGCAAAATTCTGGAGAGTTTTTGAAAAAGTCTTTTCAAGTCTGGAAATGTGGTGGGTATTGGGCGGAGCTGGTGGGATTCTTCAAGGTTTAAACTGAGTGCTGGGTAATCTCACAATGTATCACAGTGACTGTTCTGGGTCCACTTGCAGGATCCAAACAACAAACGGAAAGAAGAAAACGAGAATAAAGTCATGACTAGGTCGCCAACAGGACCGTGTTTACCTAAACATGGCTTAAGTGCTCTACCGGAACCACGAAACAGGGTCCTGGGCAGCACGGAGCACTGACGGTGACACCGCCACGCCGGCAGTAAAGCCTATTTTGGTCCCCGCCCCGTTCCTCTTGTTCCTTCTAACTTCCGCCTCCACCAATTCAGGAACGGAACCCTTTAAAATTTCTCCCAGCTGAAGCGTAGGACCAGTTTCATCAACACAATCCGGGATGGTCAATATGGCGGCGGCCATAAGATGTCTTTGTAGAGGTAAAGCATGGGCTTGGCCTGCGGGGAAAATAGCTTTGGTAACAGATTGCAAGCTCGATTCTCCTAGACTCTTGTCGGCTCTCGATGCTGGGAATATTTCTTGCTTTTCTGAGGCTTTAGGAGCTAGAGAAGGTCATTACTACTGAAAGCGACCCTATCAGGGATTTTACTCTTTTCTAGGGCTGCCCTCTCCGAAGATGGCTTAGGAGGGGAACGTATCTTGACACTACTTCAGCCCCCCATAGGAAAGGCAAAGACAGGGTTGTGCCTCCGACCTGGGAGTGCGGGCTGGAGCGGGGTGGAATTATGTAAAGAAGTGAATTCTGGGAATGAAAAATGGTATATTTGAGTGACTTACATCGATTAATCTTGACAGGTTTTAGAATGCTTTTTGAATACATCATTATTACATTTCTTCTAGTTAAACTTTCGGAAGTTGTCTACTTTGGGTTATAAAATGGTTATATTGACCATTTAGAGGCTAATTCTGTATTACTTCTTGGTAGCAACTGTTTCAGCAGTTAGTGAAATGTGACTTGTTAGTAATGACTTCTTTTTAAACAGTGCTTCTTTACTTTTTGCTTTCTGTTTTTGAAGCACAGTGATAAATATTGGTATTTCATTAAGATAGGTATTTAGATGGAGGCGCCACATCTTTTAGAGGAAGAAGATCATGTAGCTACTAGTGGCAAAAGAAGAACTGAAGTTTGCACTCCTAGGCCAGTGATTGATTCCCCTCCCCCTCTACTCTGCATCAGTTTTCTTTTTGAGCTTCTCACGGGAATGCTCAGTGTCAATACCAACATTCTTTACTTGAGGTAGTTGTTCAAACCTTAGGGGTGGCAAGGAATCATGACAGACCAGATAACCTTAGTGATCAAGCCAAAATGGATGTTGTTATTGAAGAGGGATTGATGGGGGCGGGCTGGTGGTGTGGTGGTTAAGACAACTGGACTTCCACATAGCCTAGTAAAGTTTCAGTCCTGGACCTGGTGGCTTGCTTTCTCACTTTCCCTTTCTCTCTCTCAGTCAAATTAAAAAATAATAAGAAATAAAATAAATTCTTAAAAAAAGAAATTGATGGCATTACATTCATGTATGACAAAAATCACATGTGAGGCAGAATCAAACAGACAAAAAAGAGAACTAGATGTTAATCATTGTCTCGTTGCCACATTTTCTTCTCTTAGCTTCCAGGATACCTCATTCTCTTCATTTTCTTCCTATTTCACTTATCTGTTCCTATTTCATTCCTTCTCATGTTACTTGCCTGGTTCTTCCTCTTCTCTCCAGTCCTTTTCCTTGGAATATCTTGGAAGCTAGGATTCCATTCTTCATTCTCATCTCTCCTGTGTCAAACTTCATTCCTTTTGTAGTTCTATCCGTGTCAGCCATATGGGATCCACACTCTGTCATGAACAAAATAAACAAACTTAAATATTAATACCTTCAAAGATCTGTGTGCCTTTTTGTTATTTTATCTATTTCTCCTTCAGAGGTAACCAATTTTCCCCCAATTTTTTACTTTATTATTCCCTTGTCTTTTTTGGTACAGTTTAACACATGTAAATATGTACCTTTAAGTATAGTTTTGTTTTGTTAAGTGTTTTTGCACTTTGGATTCACACCAAGTGAATTCTTATACCACTGTTTTTTTCCTTGGCTCAACAATATGTTTGTGAAATTATGAGGATAAAATTGTTCATATAGTGTTTATTTGCTTTTAGTTTTGAGAAATGTGGTTTTCATTATTATACTTAAATGATGGTTAAGAATCACAAAATACTAAGTATTTACTTTGAAAATATCAATATTTGGAATGTACAAAATTATAGATACAATGATTATTTAATGTTAATGCTTTATATGTTTTTTTTCTTTCAAGTCTTGACACATCATCAAAAGCATAGTTTTTCCAAGATGGTTTATCAGACATCTCTTTATCCTTGTTCTGTAAACATTCAGATGACCAATAGACATTTTGCTGCTGCTGCAAAGTAAGTATTTTCTTTTTAAGTTATTTAATTTTACTTTCTAGCATATAAAATGTGGGTTAGTTACCGTGCTTAATTTCATAAATTCTTACAGGGCAAGCACACATCATTCAAAATGCTCTGTGGGGGTGATCCTCATCATTTTGAACCATGATCAGCCATGTGGAAGTCCAGCACCTGAACCACCACTCCACCTGCTGGCCCCTCAACTTCTCATTTCTAAGAACAGGAATTGTTTCTTATTGGAAAAGCTAATCTTTTTCTCCACTGGTACTGCCATTATCCTGTTAAACCTAATGACAGTATGACAGCCTACTAGTGTTATTGTCTTATATGCTATTGAGGCAAAAGACTGAAAAGCAGATGTTGGCCAAACTTATACCATTTTGTTGCAGAATGTAGCACTGATTTTTTTTTTCTAGGTGACACTGTTGTTAATGAAATATAGAAACGTAGAGGTGGTGGTTAACATCGTTTATTTTCTGAATGTCTTCTTTATGAATGCCACCATTTTTTAAAAAAGAATTATTTATTTAATTTTATTTGTTATTATTTTTTATTTTGACCAGAGAAAGAGATAGAAAGGGAAAGTGAGAAAGCAAGCTGCCAGGTCCAGGAGTTGAACCACAGTCAGCCATGTGGTAGTCCAGCACTCTTAACTGCCACGACACTTACTGGTCCCCAGTGTGACTGTTTTGAAGCAGAAGAAATAGCTCAGAGATAGTTATAATACAATGCTAAGAGGACATAGAATAATTTAGTAAAATTTACAGAATCCTTATTGTGTTCTGTTGGGTCATTGGGAAAGTCATGATCCATTTTTGCATAGAAAAGTATGTTATGGCTTTCCTAATGACTTAATGGATACTATAGTGAACACACCATGCATTTTAATGAATCTTTACAATGGCTCTGTAAAGTACAGATACCATTACAGTCAAGTATCACTTAATGATGGGGATACATTCTAAGAAATGTGTCACTAGGCAGTTTTGCCTTAAGAATACTGTAGAACGTATTTACACAGACCATGGTGGTATAGCCTACTACACACCTAGGCTATGTGGTACAGCTTATTGCTCTTAGCCTACAAGGTTGTACAGTATGTTACTTCTCTGAATACTGTAGGTATCATTGTAACATAATGGTAAGTGTTTGTGTATCTAAACATATCTAAACATTGAAAAGGTACAGTAAAAATACAATCTAAGAGATAAGAATGGGGACCAACAGATGACCTAGTGGTTATGTGGCTGGACTCCCACATGGTGAACTATGGTTCGAGTCCCAGACCTAGTGGCTTGAAACTCACACTGGGCGTGTGTGTGCCCACCGCTTGCATGCCCAAGATCTTGGGAGGAGAATGAAGGAGAAGGGGTTGTGGCATGGCCATACCCTCGAGGAGTGATTTATCACTGTCCCTCTTATTATCTCTGTCCTTCCTCTCCAGTTAGTGTACACACCCTAAGGCAAAAAGCTCTTGGGGGGAAAAAAAGAGATAATAATGGTACACTTATGTAGGACACTTAACATAAATGGAGCTGGTAGAACTGGAAGTTGCTGTGGGCAAGTCATTGAGTGAGTAGTGTGAATAGTTGTGAATGTGAAGACCTGGGACATTACTGTACACTACAGTAGCCTTTATGAATACTAAGGCTATACTAAGCTTAACAATTTTTTTTCCCTCAATAATAAATTAACCTTAGCTTACTGTAATTTTTTTATGTGTAATTTTTTTACTGTCATTATGGCTGGGCCAAATTTTTTTATTTTTATTTTTTTAATAAATAGAAGGGTTATATTATAAAGTAATGATAAAATGTATAATACAGGCCAGCAGGTGGCATGTAGTTGGGGTATTGGGTCCCATGTGGCTGACTGCTTGGTTTGAGTCCTGGACCCAGCAGCTTAAACATGTTGGGTGCATGTGCATGTGTGTCCAAAGTCCCAAGAGGAGGAATGGAGGTGAAGGGATTGCCGTGTGGCCATCCCCAGGTGAGGGAAGAAGGGGGAGTGTGATTTCTTATCTTCTTTCTCTCTGTCATGCTCTTTCTCTGGTGAGTGCATGCACCTTATGGCAAAAATCAGAAAACAAAAATTATAGTGCAGCAAATATATAAACTAGTAGCATAGTTGTTTCTCATTAAGTATTATGTAATACACATAATTGAAAATGCTGTATTTTTATTTAATTAAAATGTATTTTTATTTGTTCCATGAGGGAGCTAGAGAGAGAGAGACAAAGGCAGAGACAGAGACAGGCACCTCCGAAAAGGTCTCTGCACTGTGATCCTGCCTCCAAATTTAGCCAGCCCAGGTCATAGCATCCTTGTGTGCCTGGCATGTACACGGAGACCCCAGGAGGTAAACCCAGGACTTCTTGTTTGGCTTCAGTATCATGGAGCACTACCTCTGTGCCACAGCTGCTGTCCCTATTTTACTTCTTGTCCTGTCATGAACTCCCCACCCCCACCCCAGCCTTCTGGGCAGTCAGGATCACAGCTGTGTGCATTGGCAACTTTCAGTCTTTCCAATTTGGTAGGTAGTAAAGGGTATTATTATGGGTTTTTGTTTTTGATTTTTTTAATTGCCAGATGATACACGCCCTCACCTTAGAGCTGGAGAAAGCACCCTCCAGTGGGGCCTGGTCACACTGCAACCTCTTCTCCATTTCTCCATCCTGTTGGGATTTGGGGCACACACACACACATAATGCCCAGCATGTTTTTTAAGCTGATGTGGCAAGGATTTGAACTGCCAATGGCCATGTGGAATCCAGCTCCCTTAACCACTATAGTTTGGCCTCATTATGGTTTTAGTTTATATTTCCTTTATTATTATCAAGATTATATACCTTTTTAAGAGCCATTTTTCTTTACTGTGAATTTTCTGTTCATATACTATCTTCATTTTTTTTATTGTCGATAAAGGAGCCTTTCATATATTACAAATTAGTATGTATTTGTGAAATAACCATTTCAACTTTCATAGTAGAGAAATGGGCAAGTACTATGAGATTCGGAATGAAAATTCAAATAATTCTATCTGGGGAAAGTAGAGCAAGAAGTATTTTAACTGAATACTAAAAGATAATATTTTGTAGGGGAATTAGGAGAACACTATTTCAATGGAGGAGAGACTAAAAAGTGAATGATAATGGATGTAAATATAGTCTGATGTGGCTTGGAATATAGACTGAGTAGGGAAGTGGCAGAAATGTAACTAGGAAGGAGGCTTCCTATGAGTAAGAATAGTGCCTGGGGGACCAGCAGGTGGCGTCATGGTTAAGGTGGTGGATGCTCCCGTAGGGCTGACCACGGTTCGAGTCCTGGACCTGGTGGCTTGTTTTCTCGCTTTCCCTCTCTCTTTCTCTGTCTTTGTGTCTCTCTCTGGTCAAATTAAAATAAGTTAATGAATAAATAAAATTAAGTAATTCTCTTTAAAAAAAAATAGCACCTAGATTCTTTCTTGTTGTCAAGTTATTAATTGGAGGAGTACTGGTTGTATTAATGTATATCCCTCCCAGCAGTGAGTGGAGTGCCCAGTTTTTCACATTCCTATGCACTCCAGGTATCATCAGCCTTTCATTTGTGCTTGTTCAGTATATTTCTTTTTTATGTCTTTTACCCATTTTTCTATTGGATGGGTTGTCTTTTTCCTTTATGCTTCATCAGAATATTTCTTTATTAGGGATATTAGTTATTTTTAGAATATTTTATCTTTATTGTTATTTTCATTTACCCCATAATAATTTTTATTTTGTGTTCCCAAATTTTACTGCAGTTTAATTAAAAAAAATTTTTTTTACTTACCTAAAAAGCATAGCACAAGAAATCACATACTTTTTTAAAAATAGGAAAATTTATAAGCAGACGATTTGTTTCATGTCTGACAATGAGAGTTATTCATTAGTTTGATAAGAGCCATAGTATTCATACTTTTAATTGTGATTTTTTTTTTGAGAGAGAGAGATTTTTGTTAAAGGGCATGTGTGTTCTCCTGAGAGACAGAGACAGAGAGATAAAATGTGAGAAATCTCCTCCAGAGGGGATGACTACACAGCAGTCTCTTCTCCATTCTCCCCTTGGGATTTTAGGCATGCATGCACTCGTGGCTAGCATGAGTTTCAAGTCACCGGGTCTGGGATGCAAACCTTGGCTGGCCATGTGGAAGTCCAGTGCCTTAACCACTACACTACCTGCTGACCCCTTAATTGTGATTTTTTTAAATGCATTGACTTTAAGACTAGTCTTTTTATGGTTAGTTTTTTTTATCAAGATCTGAAATAGGTAGAAGAGCATGTGCTTGCTACTCTTGTCTCTTTCATTCTGGATCTCTCCGCACCCCCACGTGTGCACAAGCATATATCCCCTGTTTGCCAGTAGCAGATCGTGATTTAAAAAAGGCCACTGGGTCTTCTGCATCTGGGTCTGCTTCTGTCTTGACAGTGGTTCCTTTTCTTGCTTCTTTGTGTATCTCAAAATTTTATATTGAATGCCAGATATCTTGTGTTGAACAGTAGAGACAAAATAAATTTACGCCTGCAAATGGGCATGCCCCTTCATCTGTCATAGCTTGAATCATTCTAGTCAAGGGTTGAACTACAGTTTGATTCAGTTGTTGCTATGGTTACCACCAGCTTGATATTTCTGTAAGGCTACCTTGTGCTTAGGGTTGGGGGCTGGGTTGCTGGAGGCTTTTCTCAGTGTTTCTGCCATTTTCTGCCTTTCCCCTTGCAGCTGTGCCTCAGAGGGGGGTCTTACTTCTCCCCTAGCAGCAGATTGCTGTTTTTTACTCAGCAGGGCTGATGATAGGGTGTAAGAGGGGAATTCTCTGTTTTTCAAGTCCATCCTTAGTTTTTACTTTTCTTTCTTTTTTTTTTTGGAGAGGTTTTTGCTATAGGTGCATGCGCTCATCAGAGAGACAGAGACAGAGAGATAGAAAGCAAGAAATCATCCCCCCCCGGGGGGGGGTCCATGCCGCAGTCCCTTCTCCATTCTCCT